TTCTGTTAAAAATTTGCATGGGCTCTTGATGCTATTATGAATACCATTACACTTCAAACTCCTCATGAGAAGAAACAAACCATGCAAGCCAATTACAGTAATTAATGTCTTATTTATCTAGCAAAGAGTTGTTCCACTTAAGTGAATTGTAAAGCTTACTCCTTTAATCTGCAAGACTTATTTGGTCTACTTTTCATGGAAATTTATGTAAAATGGAATATATAACTCCTTCCTTCTTAAAGGACCTTATTTACCGAATGTAATTTAACCTTTCATTGATGCCTTGGGTATAGACATCAATATAGTAGTAATATAGTATAGAACATTAACAGAATGCTAACATGCAGGATGCCTTTCCAAGGCTACTGAGGTATATGGGGTTGTCTGCATCTATGCAAAATAGCCCAAGCTTTCTATGATTTTTAAGTTTATGTTTAGTTTAGAGCTTTACTTTAAAGCTTAAATCACTGAATGGGTGTTGCCTCAGGCAAACTGAGACCTGGGAAAGACCTTAGCTTAAAAAGACCAAGGTCTCCCACTGCATCTGGGGCCATTTCTAGTCCTTCTGACCTGTAACTTGCCACCAGACTCTGATGACCCTGAAGGACAGAGTGAGGCTGATAACTTTGTACAGCCCTGCCTCATTTAAATCTAATTCACTTGCAAGTCAAGACATAATCAACATCAAGACAACAACAACAAAACAATTTTTTTTTACCAAAATAAAAGTAAATTCTGAGGAAGAGCCTCAGGGCCTTCCTCTGAATAAAACCATTAGTTCTATGACATTTACTTGGGCCGCTCGAATGACTTTCTGGCTTCTAAGTTCATAACTGTGATATGGATAGTTGAGGTTGTTGCACAAATGATCTCTAGATAAGTGAGGTACTAGTGTAATATGTACTTACCAAAACTGCAACATAATCAAAAAGATAGTTTAACATTAGTAAGAAATATTCTACAGTTACAGCATGAAACAAATAATAAATCAGCCAACTGTGAATTGTGTTTTAATACAAGAGTTATCAAACTAAATACTTTCCCTCCCAAATACATGTACAAAAAACAGTGAACAAATTATAGACATTGTTCAAGAAAACAGTAAGATCCTAGATGAATCATTATTTTATGACTTTATGTGAAGAAACTGATAAGAATCTCAACAACATATCAGTGGAAGCCACACAAAAGCCAATTCACTTACACTTACGGAAAGTAGAGCAACTTTGTAGTCTTACATAGCAATCCCATAGCAATGCCATTTGAATATGGAATTATTAAAACTAGTAGTACCCTGCCACCTCTATCTCCCTTTCCCTCCCTTCCCCAACCTGTCTCTGTGATTCTTACTTTCACAAACATTTTTACCAAGCTTTTCTATACTCCCTCTATTACAGTCCTACTCCAATGCCTCTTCACAGCATGGTAGTTCCTCCCAGTAGACTCTGGCAAGTTTGACCAAGCTAGAAAGGCGTCAAGTCCCCAGATATGGATTATATGATTGTCATCCAAGGACCAACTTTGAGAAATTCATTACCTAGGTGAAGGGTGATGAACATCTTGGTCATAGCAACTCATGAAGACCATCTACTAAAGCATACAGGGTAGTAAACTGTCTTAGTGGAGGAAGTACTGGTTCCAACAAAATCTTAAAAGAACTGAAGCTTTTACTTACGCTAATTTAATGATGGATGTAGTCAAAATAATTATTAAAATGTTGAAAATACTGATTATTGCCTGATTTGATTTCTATTTCACTTAATTCTTGTGGCCCTGTGTGAATATGCAAACAGTTCAACCCCCTGCACCTTCTCCCCTCCTTCCAGAAAAATACCTGTAACTAGTTATAGGATAGTCAAACATAAAACCATAGAATATTAGACTAAAAGGGCCCTCTCACAGGTCACCTAATCCCATTGTGTTATTTTTACAGATAAGCACTAGCTTATCTAGCACTCATTCTATTGCACATTGCTGTAGAGTACTAGAAAAATGATTCCTTTACATGGTTTTACATGGTCCAGCTAGCAATCTCACTGTTTTCATTGTCTTTACAGCTATATCTTAATAAATGTTTACTTACCGAAAACTGAGCTCATTGATATCTAACAGATCATTTCTTTGACCTTTTTACTGTACAGAATATACTTTTCATATATGCTATAAAGCTTAAAACAGACTCTCAGAAGTTATTAATGACAGGCAATGAGAGTGAGGAGCTAAGCATGACACTAAGGTTGTGAATCCAGATGACTAGAGAAGTTTGGGGTGACAGATGGTTTTTGGTGGGAAGGAAATTAGTTCAGCTGTAGATATTTTAATTTATGGTTAAGATCACTTAGGTTGAGTTAGACTAGAATAGATATCCAGTTTGAAATATCCAAATAGGGAGTTAGGAATGAACGTAGGACTGGAGCTAGGATATATAGCTCTGGAAATTATTATCTTCCAAATAATAAGTTGTGGTGCACAGAATACTACTGTGCTATAAGAAACGATGAAGAGTGAAGTGAATGGAACCAAGAGAACACTGTATATAGTAACAACAATACTGTTTTAAGAACAACTTTGGGCAACTAACTTATTTTGACTATTATAAATACACAAATTAAAAATAAAGGACATTTAAAGAAAGAAGTTACCTGCAGCTAGAGAAAGAACTGATAAACAGAAGTATAGAATAATTTTACATATATATGCGTATTTGTATCTAATGGTAGCCATCTCTAGAGTATGGGGGGGAGAAAAAAAAAGAAATTTACATTTTAACTTTGTCATGTTTGTGGAAGGAATAGCAAGTTGTACATGGTAGATTTGCAGTTTCATGTGCAATCATCTTTTTTATGGTACTGTGTTATGGAAATGCTTGTTTTGTTCTGTGAACTGAAAAAAAATTTTTTTTTTTACAAAAAGAAGTTATTATCTTAATAGGGATGATATCTGAACCCATGGGAACTGATGAGATCACCAAGTGAGATAGTATAGTGGGAGAGGGGAAGAGGGCCAAGGGCAAGATTAAACAAAAGACAGCAAAGGACACTGAGAAAGAGTGACTGGACATGTACCAGGAAAGAACTATGTCATGAAATGAGGACTGAGAAAAGACCACTGTCAAATAAAAATTCAATTAAGGCAGATTGAGGCAAGTTTCTCTGAACAAGGTAACAGTTTATTAGTAGGGTATGAACCTACCAACAGAATGAGCCAATAGCTACCTCAGTTTCTAAGCCAAAGACTAATAGATGAAGATGCAAATTCTTTATATGAGCATGAAACAAAGAACAGAACAGTATGAGTAAGGAAATTTTATAACTGGTAACAGGGTTGACAGCATCATGAGAGTAAAGATAACATAACTGGTTACAGAGTTGAAGGTGGGGGACAATATAATGACTGGTTGGAAACTGGGAATGAAGGCTGATAACATCCCCCCAACATTCCCCCTCCATCCCTCCTGTGACTAAGAAAAATTCATTGCTTGAGTTCACGTGCAAGGTCAGAGATAGTGGACCAGATATCCTTGAAGGATAGCTCAGTAGTGTAAAGATACTAGGCCAGACTCCCTGGTAGCCACTTATATCCACAGATTTCTTTGAGGTAAGAATAGAACAGTGATTGGCAGATTTCCAAACTTAATTCATTTTAGGCCAGCAGAATTTCTGAAATAAGTTCAGAAACAAAGAAACATGACTTAGGCAATTACAGGACAAAATCAATTACAGAGTAAAATCAAATACAAAATCAATGCTTGCTTTTCTCACTATTTGGCAATTTAAGAGATCACTGGTAACACTGGAAGGAGTTGGCTCAATAAACCGATGAGATGGAAGCCAGATTTCAGAGTTAAGAAGAAATGGAATCTATTAGACAGGGAGAGACTGAAGATTAAAGAGTAGGGGGGAAGTAGAACAATCTGTTGGAGCCTTGGCAAGAAGGAGGGCTGCCTGCTTGTCAGAAACAGGAGTAAAAGGGGAGTAATGTGAGATGACAAAGAAAGAAGAATCTTTTGTGAGTGGCCTCAATTTTTTTAGTGAGGCACAAGAGGGTCAGGTGGAGAGTGCTACTTGAGGAGAAGTAGGAAAGTCTGTAGCAGTAGCTGTGGGAAGTAGAAGGGAGAATCTATTAGAAAAAAGTGGAACTTCATTGCTACAATGGGACCCAGTTTGGATCAGAGAACATAATTTTGTAGTATGATTTAATGTTGTTCTCTTGCTTCAGCGAGTGGCTCTTTAATAGGAGCAAAGGTGCCAGATTGTGGAAGAAATCAGTTACAGTTTGCAGTGAGTGATAGGTGAGAGGCAAGGAGTTTGAGAATATAGAGTTAGAATTGCTTGCCAAGGGGCAGCTAGGTGGCACAGTGTATCCAGCGGCCCTGGAGTCAGGAGGACCTGAGTTCAAATCTGGCCCAGACACATGATACTCACTAGCTATGTGACCCTGGGCAAGTCTCTTAACTCTGACTGAAGAAGTAGTAGAATTGCTCGCCAAGCAGTTTAGTTTGGCCAAAGAGCATACAGGGAATTTTTTCATCTTTACTACGAATGACAGGGATGAAAAGACAAAAATAAGAAAACTTGTTAATGTTATTTTGACCCCAGGCCACTGCCAATTAGCAATTAACCTTTACTATAAAATGCTACTATTCTTAGGAATTGCCCTGGGAGACACAGATCTTCTTCATGGAGGCCAGAGGGAGAAAGCAATACCATAATCTATTTTTAGTCTAAGTCAGAAGAGCATAAGGGAAGATTCATAAGAAAGAGTATTTATCTTCCAAGAGGAGTTTTCTTTCATATAACATTTAAATGCCAAACTTTTCTTCTATCAAGAGACAATAATAAATCACATTTCTTTATCAAGTAACTCACCAGAAAAAGGAGATTTGTCACAGCAAGAAAAACTTATCTGAAGAGTTTCTCCAGGGTTTGCTAGTACCTCTTTAGATTGCAATTTTTAGATCTCTGCTTTAAGATAAATCAGAAGTGAAATGGAATACTTACCACGGATCAAATGTTGTTTGTCTTTTTGAATGGTTTGTCCCAGAACTGCTCTCTGATGGCAGAGAAGCAACTCTGGATGGTACATTATTTTCATGGAATGAATTATCAGGACGTGGAGATGGAACTAAATAAAAGAAAGTCCAGAGTTATTAAGAAAGCTCTTTGTCAAAGCTGATTCACTATGTCATTGTACTTCAATCCACTTTATCTTTCACCAAAAAAGGGAAAACAGAACGCAAATCCTTCCCCTATACACTCATTTGACATAACTGTGACTTGAGCATGATAACTTAAAACATTTACATTTTTTCCATTTTTCATTATTTGTTAATGTGGCAATAACTCAATATATTATCATGTACTCTTGGCACAAAATTGATTTGACTTGGCTTAATTGAACTGACTTGTTCAATTAAAAATATAGGATATTAAAGTATATAAACATAAATTTTAGTTTTTTTGTATTTCTTGATGTAGCTTTTGGAAAAACAAATCATGGGATCCAATTATTCAAATATCAAAGGCTTAGTTTTCTATTCAAAACATAGCATATTCTATGTAAGAAAATAAAAATTGCCTCCCCTGATGGATGATAACTTTCCCAGGGTTTTCCATTGCAGAACAAAAGACACATAAAACAAAGCTGTAACAATAGTGAGCCAATGCCCTGCCTCTACCTCCCTATCCCATCAATTTCTTCTGTCAATTTCTAAATTTAGCATTAAAAAGAAACATGTACTTAATTTCATAGCAAACACAAAAAATAACCATAGACAAATAAAGATAAATGATACCTTACTTTCTCCTCTGTAGAAGAGGGTAACCAGGTTAGTGAGGGGACTCAAAAACCCACATCATATAAGTAGTTTTTGGGGGAAATGGAAATGTTTAGCCTAGAGAATGTGGGGTTGGGAGGCATCAGAGATGCTTTTAATTATTTGAAAGGCTGTCATATGGAAAAATAATTAGATTTGTTCTATGTGCACATTATAAGGAGGTTAAGGCTCAACATAAAGAAGTATCTTCAAACAAATGAAGTTCTCCAAAAAGGAACAGAGGCCCTCCTGAGACAAGAAGCCCTCTGTTATAAGGATGTCATGGAGAAGATCCATCCATTTGGTCAGAGTTTAGATTAGTGATCTCTGATATCCCTTCCAACTACAGGATCCTATGACAAAGCTGTGATTTAATTTTGTCCCTTGATGACTGGTATTTGTAGCATCATAGGTTTGGACCTGGAAGGGATCAGCTAGTCCGATCCCTTCATTTTACAGTGGAGGTCCACGGAAGTGGAGGGCTTTCCCTGAAGGGATGTAAATAGTCAGTGATTCTCTAGTCAGGGCCCCTCAGGCCTTGTCCATACCTTGCTCTATTGAATCCTGCTGCCTCAACAGAAAAGGGAAGGGGGGAATATTCATTTAGGCATGTACTTCAACTTGCTTAGTTTCATTAACACGATGGAATCATTATCTGCCTGATTGTGTTTCTAGACTCCAACATACACAGTACCCTTTCTGCCAAAGCCTGAGATGGATAAATTCGACTTAATTTACTTGTAAACAAACACAAGCTTTAAATCCAAATTTCCAGAGGCCAAAGACTAATTCATTAATTCAGTGTTCCAGCTAAGCCCTTAAAATTAACTTTTAACATCAAGGAACAAACTTATGTCTTTTAGAAAGATAATGTGTGTACATCATGTTGAGAGAACTAAATTACGTGGCAAGAATAAACTTAGAAAAACAACATGGTAGAGCCGATAGGCACTGGACTTGGAGGCAGAAAGACCCGGGTTTAAAACCTACCTCAGACACTTATTAGCTGTGTGACCCTGGGCACATCACTTAGTGTTTCTAAGCCTCAGTTTTCTTTTCTGTAAAATAAAAGGTTTGGATTCTATGGCTCTTAAGGTCCCTTTGAGCTCTAAATCTATGACTCTAGGACTCTATGGCTGGTGTACACACGTATTATAACCACCTGTTTTGACCCCTCAAATTCTGCATTTCCTTTTATACTTAATATTTATCACATCATAATATTTAATCATAGTAACATATCCAATGGCTTTTTATTAATTCTCAAACTTCTTGACCTCTCCACAGCACTTGGACACTTTGACTACTCTCTTTCTTTCTAGGTTTTTGTGCCACCACTCTCTCCATTCTCCTCCAACTTGTCTGCCCACTTCTTATTCTCCTGGATCATCATCCATGCCATGACACTCTCTATAGATGTTCCACAAGGCTCTGTAGTTGGCTTTCTCTATGGAGATGATATATTGAGTCATACAAGGTTGTCCCAAAAGTCAGTGTGTAGTTCTAGGCTATAAACCCTTTATGTAGTTTTAGCTTACATGATAGAAGTGTTGTTCTTAAGTCTCTTCTCCTGAGCTCATCATCCACATCATCAACTGCTTATTGGATATTTCAAACTGGATATCCCTTAGGCATCTCTAACTCAACATATCCACAACTAAACTCATTATCTCTTCCACCAAATCATCCTCTTTTCTAAACTCCTCTATTTCTATTAATGGTACCACTATCCTTCTGGTCTCCCAGGCTTGCAACCTTGGCATCGTTCTTGATTCCTCATTCTCACTCAGTTCATGTAACAGTTGCCAAATCTTGTCTTTTCTGTCTCTCCAAATCACTCACATATTTCTCCTTTTCTCTACTCACAGAACCACTACTATAATTCAGGCCCTCATTACTCTTCACCTGAATTACTACAGTAGTCAACCAATTAGTTTCCTTGTCTCAAGCGTCTTCCCATTCCAAGTCCTAGTTCTTTCTAAGTATTTCCTAGACTTCCATGTGACACCATGCAAGTCACTTATATATTCCATAACTCAAAATCCTCAACTTGAATAGACGGATGGTAATACTTGCACTACTTACCTCACACATTTGTCATGTCTTCATGAACAAATGACATGATATGTGAAACTGTGCTATATAATCATGAACTGTAAGGATGAGATGAGGTTAAATGTAAGGGACCCTGAGGTCCTTAGTGGGTAGCTAGGAAAGGTCTTTAAAGGTCAGAATGAAATGTTTTAACTTACTGCACTCATGCCTTTATTTTGGTTTGTCCAGGAAGGGTGCTCCATGTGCTTAAGAGTATGCAATAGAGCAACTAAACTAGATAGCCTTTACTTCATTATCTTTTTATAACTTGTACAATTCTAAATTAATTTCATTCTGACAGATATTAAATATCAAAATATATCTTGAACTTTTTACAAGTTTATCCCCCTGTAAAATTACCTCTGTAAAAACTACCAACTCTTCTAGGAACAGGATCATTATACAGATGTCTGTTTTCTTTTGTGGCTGCTCCATCATCTGAGTGGGGGTCATGATAGGCTCCACCCTAAGGGAATGAAAAGTCTTTTAAAAAATTAATCAAATAGATTCAAGTTCACTTTAGCTCAGGGGGTCTTAACCTGAAGTCTGTGGATAGATTTTAGACACTTTATTAAGTTGGATAGTAAAAATATATTTTATCTTTATTTTAACCTCTAAATGAAATTTAGCATTTCCTTCAATTATGAACGCAAGCAACAAACGTAATTCTAAGAAGGGATTCAAAGGAAAAGGAGTCCACGACTAAAAAAGGTTCAGAACCCCTGCTTTCAGGTAGAATTTCTGTTACGGTGTTTAAGATAATTATAATTTGTTTTACATATTGATTTTTATAAAAAAAGATCAGAATTATATCTCCTAAAACAAAAATGATTTACTTTGAGAGAGGAAAGGGCAGTATTTTCGAAATACATACTTAAAAATATAATTATTATTAAGTAATTCAGACCTCAGATTTTTGCCGTGAGTGAAATGAAGATGTGCCTTCTCGAGAGGTTTCTTTAGCTGAAGACCGAGATACACTTAGCTCTGTGGGGATTTGTTCTCCTGGCTGGAAACAACCAACCAAACAAGTAAATATGGAACACTATAAATATGGAATATGCAATACTGATAACTTTAAAATTAAGATACTCTCATCTAGCCTAACCAACATTTTACATATCTGAAAGAAAAAACGAATGTGTTATTTGATGACTAATTCATGGCTAAAATTTATGAAATAAATTTTCATCTATTTCATGAAAGTAAAAGAAAAAAAAAGAAAGAAAAGAAAAAGTAAAAAAAAGAAGCCAAGTTATATAAATAATAAAAATCATCTTAGGGTTGGCAAGGAAGAAATTAGCCTATCAACAGTTTAAATGATTATTTAAAAACAAAGATTTTTGTAATTTTAAAATATCTCTGTGATATAATGGATAAAGGTTTGATTACACCGACAGTTGAAATTCTAGATCTATTTGAGAAAACAGCTAGTTTTTAGTGAAATCTCTAGTACATTTAGGCTGAATTCTCAAATAATAACTAGATAAGTCTAGGATTATTTTTCATGAGAAAAGGAGTTGGAGACTGGTAACAGAGAAGTTGGTCACAGATTCACATGACAAATGTTTACAAAACCAAGAATGCACACATACTCAATAGCTTTAGTCTTAAACATTTCATAACTAAATGTTGTCTAGGTATTTCAATATCTCCTAATTTTCTTTGGGATATTATGCATTGTTTAATACATATGATTACTCATATTCATTTTATTGCTCTTCTCTGGACTTCCTCTAAATTTTCCCCAACCACCTTTAAGTAGTGGAGCCACCAAACGGCCAGTCATATTCATAAGCAAGGGGTGGGAGGAGGGGGAATATCATCTTTTCTACTCAGAAAATAAGACTAAAGGAGCCAACAATTACTTAAGGGAATTAAAAAAAAAATTACACTTTGGTGGACGATTTTCCCTGGTATTTATTTATAGCTTACAGAAGAGTATTATCTGAGGTTTGAGATAACTGTTTCCTTGAAAATATCAAAGTATTTATTTGCTTAAGCTTAAATTTACTGACTGGGTTTGATAAGTCATCTTAGTTTGTCCATCCTCCTAACCTTCTGCCTGTACCACATTTAAACCATTCAGACATACAAGGACCTAGCCCATTTATAAAGATCCCCAGGGAAAGGAAATTTCAAAACTTCCCTCAGCAAATCATGTCAATTTAAACAATCCTCAATGTCAGGAAATTATTGTGTATGTCTAGTCCAAATTCTTCATGTGACACCTTAAATCTAATTTTCTCTTCCTTTTATATATTGTTGCCATATTTCAAGAACCTAGGATTTCATTAGTGTGGGTACTCCCTTAGCTGAGGTAGACAGCAACCCCCTCTCTGACCTGGGAACTACTAGAATGAATAGGCAAGGGGTGAAGTGAATAGAGCGCTGGACCTGAAATCTAGAGGACCTGAATTCAAATTTGGCCTCAAACACTATCTATGTGACCCTGGTCAGGTCACTTAACCCTGTTGGCCTCAGTTTCCTCATCTGTAAAATGACCTGGAGAAGGAAATGGCAAACGAATCTAATATCTTTGCCAGGAAACCCCCGAAGGGGGTCACAAAGAGTCAGACTTGATTTAAATGACTGAACAAGAACAAAAGAATGTAAAAATTAAACACCCTGAGTTCAACCTGGCAATGAACCTCTCTGAACTATCTGATGTTGTTCTTCCAGAAACAAATAAACATACGTATCACTGTCCTTTACTAGGGGCTGTCAGAGATTACTCTGAGAATCCAGGGTCACCTCTATACCATGACAAATCACCTAAGGAGGACTTTAGTGGCTGCCACCATACCTTACTTAATTATTTTTGGTCATGACAGCTTCAGTCATTTTCCAAATTATCGTCATCTTTATTTTACCTCTTAACAAACACCATCTTCCACTTCCTATATTGTCCCTTTAAAGTTGTTTGGTCCAAAAGCAGACAGTCTGTAAAGCAGTCTGACCTGTGCTAAGTATAGTATTGTTGACTTCTGTTCAACTGGTTATCCAGAAAGTCAAGTAATCCTTCTTCTGCCAGTATTCATAGGCTGTCAGTCATTTTCAACCTTGTTTTGTATGGCTTGCTCTTGTTCCCTAATCATTTGTGTTTAAATGCTAATCATTTATTTTTCACTACTCTATAATTTAGGGGTTCTTAATCCAGGGTTCATCAACTTTTTTTTTTTATTAAACAATTTGGTGACTGTATTTCAATATAGTTTGTTTCCTTTTCAATCCTATGAAATTTAGTTTGTATATTTAAAAATGTTATTCTGAGAAGGGGCTCAAAGGCTTCAGCAGACTGCCAAGAGGGATCCATGACCCAAGAAAAGTAAGGGCCCCCTTTCTAACTTATCAATTGTTTTAAATTCTAAAGTAAAATGATAACCCAAGGCTCTACTGCTAGCTCTTTTCTCTCCATTCACTTTCCAGAAAGATAACTTATTTTCTGTATACAAAAGATTATCAAATATCTGTGTTTTGGTCCTTTATTTCCAACGGTCCACACAGTATCTCTAGTAGATGGTCCATGGTCGCCTCAAACTCAACAAGTTTAAAACAACAGGTGTAGCAGAATGAGCACTTCTCTAGAAATTAAGAGACCCTGATACTAAACCTGCTGTGCCACTAACTAACTACAGGGTTGAAGCCGCTAAAACTTCTTTGAGCCTCAATTATGGCAGCAAATCAAAAAGTAGCACTGAATGATCTCGAATGCCCTACTAGATATACAATTCTCTGATTTTATGAAGCTAGGTTTTCTTCTCAGCCGGCTTACTTCTTTCAGCAATATTATGCTCCTTTATAGTCCATCAAATAAAAACCTTGGAGACACCTTTGCCTCTTCTAATTTCTCACATCTAATCTTTCACCAGTTTTTTCTTCCTTTGAAGGATTTCTCTCATTTGTGCTCTCTCTATTCTCATTGCCTTTGTCTTAGCCCATGCCATCATGACCTCCTGCTTTAATTAATGAAAATTCCTTAGCTGACCTGTTACTAAGTCTTTCCCTTCCAAATTTATTCTGCATACCCCTGCCAGACAATTTTCTAGACTGCTTCTTTGACTTACTTTTGCTTTTACCTTGCTTAGGAATGGAACCTAAAGAATTAAGTCCAAGGTCTCTCACGTGGTCTTCTTTAATCTGATTCCTACCCCCCACCTCCTTATCCAAACTCATTTCTTATTACTCTCCTAAACACCAGTCTAATCCAACACACCACTTCATTGCCATCTGAACATTTTGTCTTTTATATTTGCTTATGTAGTCCACCCCACAATTTTGAAATCTTTCTTCTCATTCATCTGAATCTTACCATCTTTTAAGACTCAGCTCAAATGCCTTTCCTTCATGAAAGCATTCTCCAATTGCTCCAATTCCCACTAATATCTCCCTTTTGGTTTTGTTTTATATGTCATTTTTGGTTTCTGCAACTAGATGGCAAACTCCGTAAGGTCACAGAACATATGTTTTTTATGTTTCCCCTATGGCATCTACACCATACTAAAAACATAGAAAGAAATCGGTGAATATTCACTGACTGATATTCTTACCCTTTAGAATGCTATAATCTTTTATCTTGTTATTCTCTGTATGCACAGGATGGTTACAGATTTCATTTAAATTCACCAGGTATTATGGCGTGTGCTGATTTAAAGAAGAACTATAAGACCTAGGGTTAAGTCCCGGTTGTGTCTCTTACTACATGGTAGAGATGTTAGGAGAACAATGAACCTCAGTATTACATATCTCACGAGGTTGTGAGGACAGTGCTTCATAAATTCCAAAGGCCATGTAAATGTGAGCAATTTTTTTGCTCCTATCCTGACCAAATACATTTGGCATAAAATAGGCTTCTAAAAGGGTAGTGTTTAAATGATTTCCCTTTAAAACATTTTCCATCAAAAGAGAAATCTCATTTCTCCTTGATCCAGGTGAATGTGTAATTTTATAAAAATGTAAATTCAAAGCATTCTGTTGTACTTTCAAAGGCATTATCAATTTTAAGCTAGGAGGAATCATATCTGGACTCTGAAAATCATTAAGATGTCTCTAAAATTTTTTCATAAGGTTTCAAAATCTAAATTTTGGTTGTTTCATAGACATCAAAAATCCACTCCAAAACTTGGAATCTACAAGTTATCTGCAGCCATTTAAAAACTTCTGGCTTGAATAAGGAAATCAAGCCAGGAAAGCAATCAGTAAGAAATGTGCTGAGAGCATGTAGGTTGGTAAGATGGAAGAATATGCCTGTGAATTCACCCTCAAAGTGAAAAACTACAGGGAAAAAACCCTACGGATTTCACTACTAATTCAAAATGAAATTGTATAGGAAAAATATGCTATAATGTAAAATTTAACAAAGGAAGAGGATTTTTAGAAAACTGTTGAATCCTCCCTACTGCCCAATTATTAATGACTCAAAGATTCAGCATTATTGTTTTATTTTTATTATTATTTTTAACAGATATTATTGATTTACTTTTTTTCTTTTAAAGTATTTAGAAACTACCTCTATCGTGTATCTTTAAGATATCCTACAACAAGCAAAATTTCAGACTGACCCTATTCCAATCCTCTGCACCATCTTCCTGTGATGTGCCAACAGATTTGGTGAATAGCCTAAGTTGTACCTGTGGTGATAACAGTTGCAGGCTGTTGGCTCTGACTGCCATCCCTTGCCCTATGTTCAAGCCTCCATCTGAGCCTTTTGCTCTCACTTTGTCTCGAGTCACGTACATGGAATGCCTATGAGGCCGCTGCTGGGAAGAGAAAGGGCTGGTATAGCCTAGACCATAGGAAAAAGATTCATGTGGTGCAGACAGTGAGTGTGAATGGCTTCCATCCATGTGGTCGGGCAATTTCAACTCCTCCATTGTTTTGGAATGTCTTGCTGTTGTTCGCCGTGAGTCCAGTGTGCCCTCACTTCGATTAGTTCTCCCAGAAGGACTAAGCAAAGTTCTACTGTCACTGTGCCTGGGAGGGGTTGGGCTGGTGGGAGAGTTCAAGTCTAGGCAGCTAGATGGAAAATACCTGCTGCTATTGGGATCAGAAATCTGAACTCTGGCTTCAGAAAGGTTACTCACAGATTTGGAGTCAGTCAGAACCCCATGACTTTTGGCCTTTGCCCTATAAGAAGGACTCTTAGAGGACTGGGGAATAGTGTCTATGTAGCTGTGCCGTCCATGCTTTTCACCAGGCTGTAATGTTCCAGTTTTGCTTTGGGAACTTTCCATAAATGAGTGTCGATTCTGCTGAGACCTACTGTTTGACTTAAGGTATTTTGTGCCTGGGCCCTCAGAGGCCTTTTGGTCAATACTGAAATCAAATTCTGTTTTTGATTTTGATTCTTTCGGGCTAAGAAGATGTGGAATGTTGTTATTGGTGAGATCTTTGTTTGCAGATCCAGGTGGGTTACTTGTTTGATAGGGTTTGGTGTGCATGGGACTATGAGAAGCTCCAGAAAGGCTTCCATTGAGGAAGCTTTCACTTGCTGGAAGAACATCTTCATTCCGAGGAAGTCCAACACTCAGATTCTGCATATCCTTACTGTTAGATCTGTGATGTACCTGCAAAGCAGCATTTTTGCTGGCTTGATTTCTACATTAAAAACAAAAGAAGCATTAACATATGAACTCTCTTCACAGAGACATATATAAAAATGTGTTTTAAATGACCAGATAGTAAAAATTTCTCAATGAACAGAAACGCTAACTTTTTAAAATAACATGTCTACAATGTAGCAAACTGTGGGTAAAATCATATTGCAAAAAGAACTGTAACAAAGATATTTATAATAATATTTCCTTGCCACATCCTATGGATGGCCCATAGAAATCATTTTCTTACTGATACTGTTCCAACAAATTCTCCATAATTAATATTTCAGTGCAACTAATGCTTTGTTTAGGCCCTGTCCATGAAATAATCATGTCTCATGAAGAAAAATTATTTGATTATAGAACATCTATGGAAAAGAAGAGATATGAGCAGAAGCTAGACTCATTCTGAGTTTCTTTGTTTTCCTTGGATACCAGTAAACAACATTTCTTTGTTTTCCTTGGATACCAGTAAACAACATTTCACCTTCAGTTTTTCATTTTATCCCATTTCAAACATCCCAAAACACCCCAGTGAGGAAAAGCTACTTCAATTTCAAAGCTAAACATCTCTCTCCATAAGCACATACATATACACAAAAATCTAGGAGTTTTGAAAAAAAGGATAGGTTTGGAGATACATTTATCTATTTATCTTTCTCACTCTTTTCTAAGTTCATAGAATTTCTTATTTCACTTGCTCTATCACAGCTCTCTTCTGAGTTAAATGGTCCCCGGTCCTCCACTGCGGGGGTGGTGTTAGCTTGGTTTTGTCTTTCTACTCAGAGTGCCCTGTGAGGTTTGAAACAGAATATGGTCTGTACTCACATTTTAGAAAACTAATAATTGTGCAGTTTCTATTTTGTACCAGAAACTGGGATCAATTACTAAATGGAGGAGTTCTCATTGGAAGATCAGATTCCTTCAAGGCTTTCAAAGTTGCTTAAAATAGATAGTCTCACATACCATCATTGCAAATTAACAGAGACTCTCTCTAAAATTTAGAAGTTTATTTCATATTTAAGCTTGAAAACAAAATAGAACATTAACGCAAAATAAAACTTCATTATAAAAAGTGGAACTCTGATGTCTTAACAAGATCATTTCATTTTATCTTTATCTTTCAAAAAAAAACCACTGTAGTTTGGGATGGACAAGTTTTTGATAAAGAAACAATTCAAACAAATGATTCTCTGTTCTTTCTAAGTATTCAGAAAAATCTTACTTCAAATATAGCTACTGTCAGAGATGGTTTGATTAGGGATGATTTTATTCTCTTTATGCTGCAATGAAAGAAATGTCACATTTTTCTCAGCAGTATGGTAATCTGTGAAAATAAGCCTTCAAATTTTTCCCATCAGTATGTATGCTCAGGCATTATAAATGAGGGACTTCTTCCTGTCCTCCCACTTCTCAGATGGTGATCTCTGCCAAGAACTATTTGAGAAGCTGTTCAGAGAGCTGACATTAAGGAAAACTGAAGCAATGCTAAATGTCTCTTCTCCAAAACATATTTCATTAAAAACTTCTAGCTAGGCCCCAAGAGGCACATTATTAAAAACAAGAACGACAAAACCCCAAACTCCCCACTTTTCAAATACCCTACCTTAATTAAAAACTAATAACTAAATAGTATGTTTCAGGATACTATGGAAGGATAGTAGGATAGGATATTTCTTCCTTCTTTCATTCTGATATATGACAGCAATCGAATCTCTCAAGGATGTTCTCCCTCATGGAAGTTTAAAGCCTCTACTTTCTAAACCATTGCTGCTGCTGCTGTTTGTCCTTCAGCAATCAAAGAGAACTTAGTATTTTTTCCTTTAAACCCTTCTCTTTTTCCTTCTATTTTCTTTGAGGAACACTACTATCCTTCTGGTAACTCAGGTTCACAACATTAAAATCATTCTGGCCATTCTTTCTCCCCCTACCCCCACCAAGCCTTGTTGATTCTACTTTCACAAAATATATCTTTCTCATTTGTACCCTTTCCTCCAAGTATATTTGTATTACTATGGTTTAGGACCTCATCACCCCTTTCTTGCCTATCAGACCAGTCTGACTAATGGATCTCCTTATTTTCTCCTTCACATAACTGCTAAAATAATTTTTCAAAGATACTAGTCTGACCATATTGCCTCCTTGTCAAAAAATATCCATTAACATCCAATGCAGTTAGGACAAAATGTAAATCCTCCATAATGGGGCTCCTATATACCTGTTGCTCCAGCCTTATCTCATACTACTCTGTTTCATTATTTCCAAGTTCCCTTAACTCAACACAATTTCTCTTGTCTCCTTGTCTTTGCACATATTATGCCTCATGCTCAGAATGTACTCTCTCCTCATTCCTGCTCCTTAGGATATTTGACTTTTTTCAAAAGGTCAGCTAAGAATAACATCCCGACAGAAGTTTTCCCAGGTCCCCCCACTGGTGTCTTCTATCACAATTTACCTTGTATCATACCCATTTGCGTACATGTTACACCCACCCCAACTCACCCGCCAGCACATGAATGCTCCTTGAGAGCCAGGGACGATTTCATTTTTATGTTTGTCCCCCTGGCATGCAGCACAATTTCTGGCTCATAGTAGATGCTAAAGTAGGCACATGATACCTTGCTGAACTTAATTAGAACTGTATACCAGTAACTGAAATACTTCAGATCCTTTTTCATTGAAGCTACAGTGATAAAGTCACACCAAAAATGAAGACTTTCAACCATGAAAAGACTTAAGCTTGTATGATCCACTCTTGTTTCTGACATATTCTTCTCCTTTAAATTATGAGCTGGAAAAGGGTGTGTTGTGGATACTTTTGATCTCCTAAAATGTCTCTAACACTCCCACAAATGTCTCTTAATTGTAACACTGAATGACTTAGATACAAACCTGACTAAGGAAAACAGAGGACGTTTAGCAGAGATAATCTAATTAAGAAATTATTCAAGTTCTATATAAAAAGGAATTTAAAATGCACAGCTACAATAAGGTACTCAAATACCAAAATGATATTCAAATAAATCTTATCAATAAAACTTTTTCCTTCTTCATCTCAACCTCTTTGTGAACCAGTTCAACTCTATACTATCCTTCACTCCTGACCCCTTGCCCTCTTGTCCTGGCCAACTCCAAGCCTATATTACTCTTGATCTGCTCCAACCCTTTGCCCCTTTGTCATGCCTTGCCAAACCCCAAACTCAGATTATTCCCTCATCCATTTCCTTCATTCCTACTCATATGCTGCCAAACAGAGTTAGAGGAAATCACAAAACCAAGATGTTTGGGTCCACTTCAAATTTATGCCATCTTATTTCAACAAGATCCATACTACAAGCAAAGCAATTCTACTCCTCTCTGATTCCCTCTCCCATTCAATACAGTTGACTGTTCCAAACTTCGTCTCTCCTCATGTCTCCCATGGGATTCATATCTCCCACCCTTTCAGCTGAGGACCATAGGTCATATACACTGAAAAAAAACCCGAGGCTTCCTCCTCTCTCCTCATATCATATATCACTGACATCATTTTGCATGATCTATCCCTTCATTTCAGTCAGTGATAATGAGGTGGCTCTTCCCATGTTCCTCTACATGCATCCTTGGTCCCAGTCCCTCCCATATCTCCAGAAGACTGCTCCTATCACAACCCCCAAGGTCTCTCTGATATTCCGTTGCCCTCTATTGGCTTCTCCTTGCTAACTTTCCTGCCAATTACAAATACAACCATGGCTCATCCGACCTTTTTTAAAAAATCCTCATTTGATTCTTCTATACTCATTACCTATAATAGTCTCACTTCACCTTATCTCCTAAACTCCTTGAAAAAGTCATCATTACTCAGTGCCCCCACTTTCTCCTTACTCTTCACTAAAACCTGTTTTATGACCTCATCATTTAACTGAAAACTGTTCTTTCCAAAGTTGCCATTTTAATGTACTTTTCTCAGTCCTCATCCTTCTCAAACTCTTTACAGCATTTGACACTGTTGATCACCTCCTGCTTGGTACACTCTCTTCCTGGGGTTTTCATGACACTGCTCTCTTTTGGTTCTCCCCTTACTTGTCTCAGTCTCCATTACAAGCGCTTCATCCTTGACATGCCTTCATAATGGTAAGTGATTCCCCAAGACCCTGTTCTAGGTACTCTTCTCTACTCTCACTCTATAACCTCCTTCAGTGATCTTTTCAGTTCCTATGGCTTTAAATGATCATCTCTATACAAAATGATTCTCAGATCTGTCTTCTGCAGTCCTTCCCGGTCCCCCACCAGCCACTTAAGCCTTCCACTATAAGTTTACCTTCATTCTACTCTGTATTCATCTTACATGTGTCTCTATTGGTATTTAAGCTCCTTAAGTTCTAAAGTTCTTCTGTGTTTTTGCCTTCGTGTCCTCCCATGATACACAGTGCCTGGCACATAGTGAGCACAAAATAAATGCTTCTTGATCAATTCATATGTCCCAGGGCTTGAAACATTTGTCTGGGTTAGCAAATACTTATTATGCTACTTTAAATACACATGAAGACTCAAAGACTCCTACTGACAAAGAGAGTCATCTCTTCACTCCTTAGTAGATAGTTAAAGAAGTAACTATGGCCAAAAAAAATTAATCCCTCGGTAGCTAATCTTCTGGCAATGGGCTCTCTAAATCTAGCTAGGCTAGTCTTCAGACAACAGATGGAGAGAGTCATTCAGTACATACTAAAAGTCATTCCAGGTTGGCACTACCAGATGAAGCATGCACTCCATTCTATTTGTGATGAGGCATTATAGTAGCACTCTAGAAGAGGGAGAACAGGTTGAAAGCCAACAAAATTATGATAATTTTGTCTGAAAAGAATTCTCTGAGAGATTTTGTTTGTGCTGATGTTTCCATAAAAAGGAATACTACAATATTTTATGTTCATGTTCTCTCCACTGAAGTCAGGAGGACAGATGACATCATAATCACAGTCTGACCCAGGCTCAAAATAAATTCACAGGGGGATAAAGCTGGTCACATAAATTTGGGGAACTGCCAATTCTCTGAAACGTTTGGTAGTGCTTACCTTAACACTGAACTCATATATACAAGCATATCTTGGGAAAAAATATTTTTAGCAATGGAATATTGGCTACTTTAAATATTCAAAGTTAATAAATTAAAGATGGCTTGGTAGGGGCTGGTACATGGTGCAGTGGATAGAGCTCCAGCCTCGGAGTCAAATCTGGCCTCAGACACTTGACACTTACTAGCTATGTGACCCTGGGAAAGTCACTTAACTCTGATTGCCTCACTAGGGGGAAAAAAAAAAGATGGCTTGGAAGTATTTTAATTTATTAAAGTGTAATGGTCTAAATCAGGGATAGGAAACCTGTGGCCTCAAGGCCACGTGTAGCTTTCTAGGTCTTTGACTGAGTCCAGTTTTCACAGAACAAATCTTTTTATTAAGGGATTTATTCTGTGAAGTTTGGATTCAGTCAAAGAGCCACACTTGAGGACCTAGAGGGCCACAAATGGCCTCGAGGCTGCAGGTTCCTCATCCCTGGCTCTAAACAGATCTGCAGATCCCCAAAAGAAGGCTAGCTAGTCTTGACATAGTTTCTTAAATAGATAGGCTAATTCACATTTCTGTCCACATTGGAGCTCTGCCAAAGATCAGTAAGAAATACTATCTTAAAGACAACATGGATCTCTTTGGCACAAAAACTGATAGAAACCCTATGTCTACTTAAGGAAACACATATGGTATTAATCTTCCTTAGACAAAGCACCTTTTCAAAGCAGAAAGGTTTGGTGGTGCATACCTAGAAGCCTGACTACTAGGGAGAATGAAGATGGTGAGTCCATCAAGTGTCTGTATTTTGTGGCTAACCTCCTTAAAAAGGCCATCTACAATAGCTACCTCCATTTTCTCTTCTCTCACTCTCTTCTTCACCCTTTACAATCTGGTTTCCGACCTTATCACTCCATTAAATCTGCTCTCTCCGAAGTTACCAATGATCTCTTAGTTGACAAATCCAATGTCTTTTTCTCAATCCTCATTCTCCTTGACCTCTCTGTGGCCTCTGACGTTACTGATCACTCTTTTCCTCCTTGATACTCTGTCTTTAGGTTTTAGGGCACTCTTCTCCTGTGCTTCTCCTCCTAGCTGTCCACTCTTTCTCAGCCTCCTTTATTGGATCCTCATCTAGGTCAGACCCTCAAATTGTAGGTGTCTCACAGGGTTTTGTCCTGAGTCCTCTTCTCTTCTCTTTCTTTACTGTTTCACTTGGTGATCTCCCATGGATTATTCTCTCTAAGCTGATGATTTTCAAATTTACTTATCTTGCCCTAACCTCTGCTGACTTCCAGTACCACATTTCTAACTGTCTTTTAGACATTTTGAACTAGATTTTAAATTAATGTACAGAAGAGGACTCATTTGTCCATCTCCCTAATTTACCCTCCCCCGATGTTAACTTCCCTAAACCATCGCCTCAGTCTCACAACCTAGAAGTCATCTTGGACTCTTCACTATCTCTCATCTTCCTTGAACAAGAGATTGACAAGGCCTGTCAATTTCATCTTTGCAACATCTCTCATATATGCCCCATTCTCTCCTTTAACAACTGCCACCACTCTAGTGCAGGCCCTTAACACCTCATGCTTAGACTATTGCAATAGCGTAATACTAGGTCTGTTTGTCTCCAGTTTCTCCCTACTCCAAACCAACCTCTATTCAGTCACCAGTAGATTTTCTGAAAATACAGATCTATGTCACATGCTTCTAGGATCAAATAAAAAATGCCCTGTTTAGCATTCTGTGCCCTTTATAACCTAGACCACTCCTCCTTTCCAGTCTTCTTACACCTTACTCTCTACCACATTCTCTTTAATCCAGTGACACTGGCCTCCTGCCAGTTCCACAAACAAGACCCTCCATCTCTTGGCTCCACTCATTTTTCTCTGGCTATCCTCCATGGAATACTCTTCCTCCTCCTCTCCAACTACTGACTTCCCCTACTTCCTTTAAGTCCTAACTAAAATCCCACCTTCTATAAAAAGCCTTTTCTAATACTTCTTAATTCTTATGTCTTCCATAATTATTTATTTTATTCATCCTGTACACAGCTTGTTTGTATATATTTGTTTGGCATGTTGTCTCCTCCATTAGATAGCATTAATGGCAGAGAATGTCTTTTGTCTCTTTGTAACCCCTGGCACAAAACAGGAGCTTAATAAATGTTAACTAACTGTGACTAATAGGCCACAAATCCCACCACAATACACCTTTCCAAACGATATGGCAGAAAAGAAGTAAAAAGACCCAAACTACAAGTTATCATAGAAATGCACAGGATTAAACAGATATAGAACTCAAGATAAGCAACCAACTAATAGTACTATAAGTCCTTGATTCAATGGATCAAAATTTCTGGGAATCAAATCAGTAAGATATATTTTCAAATTTAAAGTTACCAAAGAAATTTCATAAGAATATTCTGAAAAAGGCAAAAGAAATTAAATGAAACCAGAAGTCTCTAAAAGAGTTATCAACAATTGTAAAATGTTAACAATATTCTGTTAGTAAGAGAAACTAACAAAATATAAGTGTTCACCACTTAATAGGATGTTATTACAGATCAGGTAAAGATCAGGTAAGCTTTCAAAATGCCATCTCTATTATAGGAGATGGAATGTGCTACTGAAAGAGTTTATTTTGAGAATGAAAAAAAAAGCTATCTTTTTGTTTCTTTAACAATGGTGGATGAGGAAAAGTTAATTCCTGCTTTCCACAAATTAAATATAGCACAGAATCACATTCTTAGCTTTCTGGGATTTGTCTTGGTATCCACTCTGGCCAGCTGAAGGTAATACACATATAGCCAACAGCATATATACGACAGTCTTTCCGAGCATTTTGAAAGAATGACCAATGATCAAACTGTTAGTAGACTTATACCATCAAAAAGTTGTGCTCTATTTATAATTATTATTTTGTCAAGAATTTAATTGCTCAGATTTAATTAGAACACACTTGTAGAAAGTTCACTCTTGGCAAAGTGGTAAACGGATGCCTCTTAAATGCTCCTCATATCATTCATTTCCCCCTATCATGGCACCCTTTGCCCCAGGGCTGTCACATACTATGCCTCATTCCTACAAGGCTTTACCCTCTCTTCGAGTTGTCATGATTGGAAACTGTGTTAGCTGATAAGACTTTATGTGTTACCCTTTCAGGGATATATGCATTTTCATACAAGACTCACAGACTCAACAACCAAGACCTAAATGAATGTGCTGTTCACTATAGGATTTCAAACATGGCCTGATTTTATATAATAGGCTGGTAGGGGCCTTGTTCCATGAATCACTATACATGAACATTCACCTATTTTATCTACTTATAAGGCCAGTCCTGCTTTCTACTGCCTTAGAAAGAAATATTTACCTATTAGATAATGTGTTGCTTTCAACATGGTATGGTTTTCTCTTTGCTGATCGTGAAGGTGAAGTTCCACAACGATCCAAGAGTCTCTGGGTTTGAAATGAAGGATGGTTCAAACACTGTTCTGTCAAGTATCTGTCTGCTGGATCCAACTTCAGTAAATTCTTAAAGGAAAAAAGCCCAGGATTTGGAAAAATAACATAAATTTAAGTGGACAAAAATTAATTTAATAAACCTTAAAAATTTCTATCAAGTCAATTTTCAAAACTTTTCTCCCTTCCAATTATTAGTAAATATTTCAACATTAAAACATTAATAATTCAAACCCATCTTTATTTTTTAAATTAAGCAAGCTTACATAAAAGCATTAGAAAGTAAGCAGACCAGGAAAACAAGACACACTATGACTACAGCAATGTGAATGAAAAAAAAAAAAGGAAAGCTGTTTAATTAATAATAACAAATCTTGACCCCCAAGAAAAGCTGAGTAAATTCCATCTCCTCTGTTCTTACAGAGACAGGCAACTACAGAGATATTGTCAGAGCTGACTGATATACTGGTTAGTTTTGCTGAACTATTTTTTCCTTTTTCATTTTTAATAAATTGCTTGTGAGATACAGGGATAAGGGCATATTAAGAAAAAAAGTGAAACAAAAACAAAAGGATATAGTATAATGTCAAATAAAGAAATAAAGAAGTAAAGTTAAAGTAAGTTAAAAATTAAAAAAAGCATAGGACTGGGAGGCATTACAATTGGATTCTAATCAATGTTATTGCTAGCTGGCTGTGAAAATGTGGGCAAGCTATTTAACCTCTCAGGACTTCAGTTTCATTCTAAAATGAATAGAGGGCAGTGGACATGATGTTTAAGGTCCCTTCCAGCCCCATGAATCTATGCCATCTTTAGAACACAATGCTAAACAAACATGGTTTAAATTGGATCATTTTAAACACACTCAGTGACCAAAATCCTCCTGTAAGGTGGTAGCTACCAAGAAAAAAGAGAAGCATTTCACCTGCCCTAAATTTGTCCAGGACTCTGTGTTCTTTGCTACTCAGCCTCATGCCCCTCTAGCACCATGCCTAAGAGCCTGGCTAAGATTTGGCGTTCTAGTTTCAATGGAAATGAAAACATTCATTTTTCTGGTCAAAGGGCTTTTGTTAAGAAGCCTAAGCCACTGGATTCTAAGCAAGTGATTCTGCATTAATATTGATCCAGACAAAGCTCTAAATGCTACACAATTCTTTTTCTTTTCCTAATTGGAGAACAAAAGCCACCTTGTGTGGATATGCACAGAATGATTCTGGTTTCATTGGCATTAGTGTTACAATGATTGGATTTTTAAAACACTTCAACTAAAAATAAGTATAAAGGTTCTTTGTCCAAAAATAGCATTTTAAAGGAGATGAATGTATATGAATTCGGGGAAACCAGATTTCTGTAAGTCAGTTCTATTTTAATGTTCTCATTTTACATTGAAATATGGTATTAAAATGCTATCTGTAGAAAATATTATACATATTATTTATAAAACTTCCAGTTTATAAATTCCTTCATGAGATTAGGTCAATGCTATGAAACTACTAAGTAGCCAGTAAATAATTAGTTAATTATCTCAAACTTCAACACTAATAAGAAAAAGAACATAGTGGCCATTCCCCTATAGCACAACTGATCCAATTGTTTTACTTCCCTTCATACTGGCTACCAATCATTCTGATTGAATCAATGACATAATAGATCCATATTATCATTACCATGGCCAGCTTAATTACGATATTGTTAATTTATACATACAGACATAGCAACAATGGCATCAAGCAGTGCCTACTCAGAATGAGCTTCTCAAAGCAGAAATAGTCTTATCACATTTTAGTTCCTGGTTTATAAGTAAGGTAAATGACAAAGATGGAAAAAATGGGAAATTGAATTTATTCTAATTTTTCCACTTTATTTTACTGATATTTTTAAAAGTTTTTTTTAACCTTTTTTGAATTGATTTTTTTGGATATTTAATTGATTTTTTAAAAAAGTTAATCAAATAAGTTTGGTAGGGTCTTTAGAAAAAGTAACTAACAAATATACAAATAATCCATGATGAAGTGATATAATTGACTACAAGTTCCTCGTATTTTTCTAGGAGTGCAATATCAATTTATATTGATTGGCCAATTAACCATAAAATAAAAGTCAAAGAAAGGCCCATGATTAATCAACAAATATTTATGCAAATACTCTGCACTGTATATATAAAATGTTAAAACACAAGATTCTATTGTAACTTAATAGATTACCCAAGTTATTTACAATTCATTTTCTATAATTAACTTTGGCAAATCTCTTATCTATTAATATAGGGCCTAAATCACATAATGTTTTGCAACATACTCCTACAGAGAGACAAGTAAAATATAAATTGAATATTGTATGTGAAGACACAGCAGCACAAGGTCCTACCTTCATTAAGTCAAGCAAAACACCACTTAAAATTCCTAGATATCTTCTCTCCAAAGACTGGGGGTGATTAACAGCTGGGAACTGCAAACATAACATAAGGGTAATATTAGTGTGCAGGGAGTGAATTTGGAGATGTGTGTGAAAGGCAGATGATACAGCACCACAAAATAACCACGTCACTAAAATTATCTACATGTGTATTACTTTTAAGATCTATAAAAATGACAAAGATCAGAGGATCAGTTAGGAGTAGCTTTTCCATAGTAGGAACTGTATTAAAAGGATCCTAGAAGAAAGATGACAAAGAAGATGTGAAAAAATATTATAAACAAATTCAGTACATAAAATAAACAGAAAACATTGCTGCAAAACACAATAACCTGAAATCATTTCCTGAGGAATTTATATAGTAATTCATTCTAATACAATGAAAATATGCATCTGAATAATGACACCATTTAACAAGATCTATCATTCACACTAATTGGTACTTAGCTGCACACTATCAACTCTTTAATACCAATACTAATGGTGAGAATGTTAGCATGGGCAATACAAGTGTAATGCCTCCTCAGCAGGGGAGAGGAGGACACTGAACTGATGGAGAGTGACACTGTCAAACCTGTGCTTTAGGAAAATCACTTTGGTAGCTATGTGAAATATGTATTAGAATGTGGAGAGATTTGAGACAGGAAGACCAACAGTCCAGATGAAAAGTGAAGTCCTGAGTTAGAATAGTGTCTATGTGAGTAGAGACAAAGGGACATAGATAAAAGAAGCCACAGAGGTAGAAAAGACAAGACTGGTTGACCAGAAATACAAAACATGGCTCGTTGGCAATTGCCTATAGACACTTCAAACTGAATGCCCTGTAGTTATCTCAAATTCAGCATGTTCAAAACAGCACTTGTTACCTTCCCTACCCTCTTGCCATGGGCATCACCATCCTTCCAGTCATTCAGAATCATGACTTTGGTATCATTCTGAATACCTTACTATTACTCACCCCACATATCCAATCATTAGCCACACATAGTTTTTGACTAAAAAACATATTTTACTTAGGTGACCTACCAACTGTATAAGCCAAGGACCTTGAATGGCATAAGCAATTATTTTTCAAAGATGAGTCACTGTTACACTGAGAATTCTAATGCACATTTATAATGTACTGTTTTTCCCTCAGCAGCTGGGACAAAGTAGAAAGAGAACTGGCCTGGAGAAGACCTAGATTAAAGTCCTGTCTCAGACTGACTGTGTGACCCTGAGCGTCTCTGTGCCCCAGACCACTTTCTGAGACTGAGTTACAGAGCAGTTGCTGAATTCTTCATTGGTGAAGAATTTCCTCACCAATAATTTCCAAAGGAATAAAATCACAGATCTCATACAAAAAAATCAGTACTTAAAAGTCATAATTTTCTTGAAAACGCCCAACTTAAAAATTCCTTAGATGGAACTGAATGTAAGACTAAATTCCATGGCAACAGATTGAGGTAATAAAGCATTACAGTTTCACTAAAAAGCCAAGATGCTAGAAACAAAATAGAACGAGAATGCAACAAATCAAATTCATTGTGTTAAAAAAAAAGTGTTAAAACTGCTTCAAAATGAAAGCCATCAGTTTAGCATGAAAGACACACTGAAAAGGGCTCAGCCTGTGGAGTCAAAGGATATGGGCACAAATCCTGCTTCTGACATTCAATTACCTGTGACCTGAGGAGTTTACTTAATCGGTTACCTCAATTTCCTCATCTGCAGAATAAGGGAGTTGGGTTAGCTGGACTCCAAGATCTCTCCTAACTTATGATAACAGGGCATATTAATATCTAGACCTTAATAAATAAAGATTAAAGATAAAGTAGCATATCAATCATAGTGCCCATCTAGCAATTAGTCTTATTGTTTTTCCAAAATCATGTAAATCATCACAGTATGTTTTGGTGATATTTCAGGATACACAGTAGTACAAGAGATAATAAATGCTGATTGCTTAAGAGTTGTTCTATGTAGGGGCAGCTAGATGGCGCAGTGGATAGAGTACTGGCCCTGGTGTCAGGAGGTCCTGAGTTCAAATCTGGCCTCAGATACATAACACTTCACTAGTTGTGTGACCGTGGGCAAGTCACTTAACCCCAGTTGACTCACCAAAAACAAAAAACAAACAAACAAACAAAAAAACAAAAAAAAGAACTGTTCTATGTACTGAATTATTTGTCATTAAAATTCTTAAAATGATAAGGGACTGTTATATATGTTTACACACACACACACACACACACATATACCCAGAAATACAAGTGAGAGCAGCTTAAAGATGAATTCAAAGGAGTGGCAAGGTTCTCTAAAAATAGTATACAATAGCCTATATCAGACTTCACACCAAGGCAAAGGGAGAAAATTTAGAACTCAAAATCTGACAGAAATAAATGCTGAAAAATATAAAATAAATAATCATTTTTTTTAAAAAAAGGGAATAGTATACAAAAGATTTATAAATCTATAGCCCTTAATAACTTTCTCTGCTTACCAACCAATCAAACTGTATGTTCTGCAAATCAAACTCTTCTCCAACCGAATTAAACACTTTTGGTAATACAATGAAATCTTTAAAATGCCACAGAAACACTTTTTTTTTAATGTTGACAGGTAGTGTTTTAAATATAACTAGTCTTTTTGGATGAGTTTTGCTATCACTGAAGAGCATACTTAACTAGGGGACTCTCTAGAGTACCTGAAAGTAATTGAGGGATACGTTTTACAAGAAAAAGAAAGAGATGCTCACTTTTGTGAGGAAGCAGTAGATGAGAAGACAGATGGGTTATGAAGATGGAAAAGACAAGGAGAGAGGGGGAAGATTAATGAACATGAGAAGAGGCAGACAGAGACTGTCTCAAAAGAATAAGGATAGTTCTAAGGATGTAGCCTTAGCATCCTAGTTACTGAGAAATAGTACTTTCCAGATGAGAGACTACAGACTAAGAAGCAGTGCAGGGCTTCCCTTCTGGTCCTTACAGAAAGTAACCAAGAGCTCTACAGTGTCTCATGGGTGACCTTCTGGCAGAAAGTGTGATGAGTCTGGAGGCAGAAGACATAAGCTACTGTAACCTTGGGTGAGTCCCACTTTCCCAATAACAACTCAGATTTCTCATTTACAAAATGAAGAGGTGAGAATGAAAGATCTCAAAGATTCCTTTCAGTTCTAAAGGAAGGCAGTGTGGAATAATGTACAGAGTACTTGACCTGGAGTCACAAAGACTTGGGTTCAGATCTCCCCTTAGACACTTACTAGCCATGTAACCCAGGGCAAGTCACTTACCCTTTCTTAGTTTCAGCATCTCCATCATTAAAATGAGGATAATAATACCAATGGCTCTTGCCTCACAAGACTTTTGTGAGAATTAAATACAATAATGTAAAGAGCTTTGAAAACCTTAAAATGTTTTATAAGGTAAGCCAGTTCTTAGTATTTTTATTTATGGCACTAAAGAGAACATATATGGGGAAAAGGAGGCAGATTGGATTGGAGACAACAGAATTATGAGAGCATTGAGGGAGTAACAGAAGAGGTATCTGAACACAGGGAAAGTAATAAAGGTACGGAAGAAATCTTCAAACTTAGTAATACCAAAAATAAGTGATGGAGATTACATTAATAACTACTGAATTATGTATCTATCTTCCCATCTATAGAAAATGTTTATGTGGTTCAGCTACATATGAATCGAGGATATCCTTAATGAGTATTTCTAAGGAACAAGAAGAAGGCTTTCCCAAGCAATATTCAACAATGGACCACTTTTTACCACTTCACAAATGAATGAAAGTTGTAGAGAAGATCTTATCACACTTACTATTCATTGATTACAAGAACAAAACTCCTTTTTACAGGCTCTCTTATAATAGTGTCCCTAGATCATTATCATCCAGTATTCCTTGGAAGATGTGACAATAGAAATAACCCTGGTCAATAACCCTCTGAAAATAAAAACCAAGCAAAGCATAAAACAGGGAGATGGGTGCTCAAAGTATTTACTACTGTGATGAAGGAGATCAGGGGAGAGATAAGGTTGAAGAAGGATTTCTTGTAGATAGTAAGGTCCTCCAGATGGTTCTGTTTACAGATGACACTGTATTGTACATCATGCAGCAGAGCTTTTTAGAACAGATCTCTAATCACTCAAAGGAGTTTAGCCATTACATCTACACAGGAAAGACCAAATGGATGAAGAATGCCAACTGCACATACTTTAATGTGCATCCTAATAAGTACCCTATAGAGCTTGCCCAACATTACATATTCTGACAGATAGTACAAATCAGAGGAGGAAAGCACTCTGGATTACTTCTGAGAAACTACCCCAAGCTTCCCATAACAACAAAAAACCCCATTTTTTTCAATACAAACATTTTATCAGTGATATTTTATTATAGCAGTATGGCACTAGAATACCACTGCCTCTGTGCAATTAAAGATAAGCTTCACACAGAAGACAATGGAAAGATGTCTTTAGTTATGAGTAGGTTGCATATATAACCAACATCCTCCAAAAGGCCCATCTGGAGAACCTCATCCTCCACAGGAAGTCCATTTTGGACCTAGACTATCCTCTGAACTTCTTCCATCATAGTGGCTATTATTTTTGGCAAGCATACATCTCCCTGTTTTAAGCCTCACCTGATGCTTATTATCTAAAAGTTAATAAACAGGGTTACGGTTGTTCTATCTTCCAAGGCATCCTAATGAGTTTGAGATTTGACTGGGAGACACTTTATCATAAAAGAGCTTGTAGGATGGCATTTTGTTGGTTATTTATTGCTAAATAGGTGGTTTGAAAATAAAAGGTTTGAAATAGCTTCAGTGGGCAGTGAGACAATGAATCATGTAAGACAGAATAAAGGATTGCCTTGTTGTAATGAGGGCCTGATTGAGATAGACAACATAAATCTGTCATGTACATACATGGTTGCATGACTTCTTCCAACAATGACTGGCAACACAAAAGTAAGGGTGGTGGAGACAGATGGTGGATGCAAGCCAAAGCTGAGATTCAGTAATGTATGAATTATAACAGGACAAGGAAGTAAGGAATTTGAAAATAGAGGACAGTGTGGACTAGAATTGGCTAACTATAGGGTCATGATTAGAAAAGAGGAAAGTACTCAGAGTAGGTTAATAGCCTGAGAAAATAAAGACCTTCAGGGTAGAGGGAGGATTAGAGGTCGTAAGGAGGTTTAGGAAGGGAGAGGCACAGGGAGAGACAGAACAATAGAAGGTTATGATCAGATAAAGGAATGTCAAGGTTTTTTGTTGTTAATGGCAAAATCCAGGTTGTGATAATCCTGTGTGTGTCTGAGGTGGTATGTAGGATTAGGTAACAGGATTTGAAGTAACTCTGGAATTAGGAAGTTAGGGAGTTTGAGGAGCTAGAATACTTGAATGTTAAAGTCCCCAGTATAGAGGCAGCTGTGGATGGAGTGAAATTCAAAGGAGAGATTGTTAAATGATATCAGGCAAAGAGTGAGTCTGGAAATGTCAACAGAGAGCAAAGAATATTGTGATCCTCATCCCTTTCCAGCCCTGCCCCGGACCATTATGTTGGAGAGTGTGAGTGAAGATACAGCCAGTTCTGGAGAGGATGGACAGAGAAGCAGTGTCTTCTGGGGAAAGTTAAGTTTCACTGAGAACAAGAAGATAGAAGAAATATGAGAGGAAGATGTCCAGACTAAAGGAAAGTTTGTTCACTATTTCCAGAAGACAGTGGAAAGGGTGGACAGGATTGTAAGTGGGACATGGTTGGGGTAGAGTAAAGGCAGATGGGGTGAGAAAACAGCAAGAAGGAGTTGGAGATATTTTGTTCCTAAGTGGCTAAGATTAATTCAGGGGTAGGAGAATAATAGGTGGTGTGAGTATGTTAGCCACTGAGGTAATAGTGCATGCTCACAGTCTTAAAGGGGTGCTATTTCTAGACAAGGGCCAAGGTCACAGAAACTCAGTAACCCTACTTGATCTTCTGGGCTGAAGAGATTGGGGAGGGGTGGACAGTGTTAAAGTGAAGCCTAGAGTGATTCCGTGGTCAAGTTTCTATCACCACGTCTTGAAATCATATGAAATATTTATTATGCGTAAGCCCTATGTCTAATAGTGTTCTAGGTTTTAAGGCAGAAATATAGTCTAGTTGCAGAGACAAGACTTACACGAGTCAACTAGGAAAAAGAATAAGGAATGTGTTAACATAAAGCAATAAATTAAATATAAAAGTTGGAAGGCACTATTTAGAGAAGGCTTCATAAGGAAACTCAGATTTAAGACGTGTTCAAGAATGGCTAGGCTTTAAATAGATAAAACTGGGGAAGGTTTCTTCATCTATAATTCTAAGGTCTGTAATGTGGATAATCTGATGATGGCGATTTAAGCAGATCTGATTGTCAGGAATGACTCAGTGAGTGTCCTGTAGAAAGATCACAAAGAATCACTATACAGCTTCAGAATTCAGTCTGGTTTTCTCTCTCTATCAGACAGTATTAACTCCAAAGTATTATTGTGCAAAGGGCAAAATCTTCTAGTGACAATTATAAAAAGAAGTTCATGACAACTTGCAACACAGCAACTTGCCTATACTTTTATTTCTGTAACTGATACATTTTTGTAATTTTGCTTTGTGCACTTAACTAAGTTATTTGTTGTATGCACCAGGTAACTTGGAAGTTAACCCTTGGGTGTTAACTGAAGTCAGTGTGGTATGCCCTCTCTTACTACTACTAAAATAATACTACTAAAATAACTTCCCTGGGAGAGACTGGATAATAGAAAGACTGAACTCTTGCATATGAGGGAGTATGTTTCCTGAAACCAAGGCAGTTTAGTAACAGATGATAATAAAACCAGACTTAAGTCACGGTTTTTTCATTTATTTCCCTTTCCTAATAAAATGTGTTCTAAAACACACTTACAGATAGAGAATTTAAATCTGTTCTCCTTTGAGGGGCTGGGCTTCCAAGATGATCCAATTATTAATACCACTAAAATTGGAGGAAAGCTGAATGGTGAAAATAAGGTTCAGTGTATGGGACAGATGCAATTGTTAACAAATTTTTCTTTATATTAAGCATTAATTTGTTGCCTCTTTGCAATTTCAGTTCATTGCTACTAGTTCTGCCCTCTGGAACAAAGCAAAAGAAGCCGAATCCTGAATAGGTAGGAGGAGAGAGTACCTAGGAGGAGAAGCTATTCCACAATGTCAGATACTGCAGAGGTCAAGGAGATTAAGGACTGGAAAAGAAAACCATTAGACCTTAGCAGAAAACTTTTTCAGTTGAGTGGTGACATAAAAAGCCAAATTTTAGAGATTTTAAAAGAGTAAGAATAAAGGATGTATAGGCAACAATTGTAGACAACTTTTTCAAGGACTTTGGCTAACTAAGGGCACAGAAATAAAAGGAGTGTTTGAATCTAGCGAGTGTTTTTAGTCCTCATAAAGCTTTTTATAAAACCACTGGAAAGAGATTCTTAGAAAATTTAAACATTTGGAATACCTGAGTGGTGCAGTGGATAGAGCACTGGCCCTGGAGTCAGGAAGATTCTTCTTCCCGAGTTCAAATCTGGCCTCAGACAGTAACTAGCTATGTGATAGATGGACTTGTCGGTCAGTTGTATACATTTTCCCCCTTTCCCTCACCTTACAGAAACAGGGAAGTTAGATGGTGGATTTTTTTTTTCAGGGAGGGTAGATGTTGGTGAATGAGTTATCTTTGAACATATATCTATGGGACATCCAATTGGAAGTGTTTAATAAGTCACTGGTGATAAAGGACTGGAGTTCAAGAGAGAGACTAGGACTAAGTACCTTTAGGAGATACCTGCACAGACATAATTGAGCCCAGTGGAGCTAATGAGATAGCTGAGAGGATCTTTGTATGTGTGCCAAGGATTATATGAAATGGAGCTAATTAAGGTATGAAAGATATGGAGAAAGAAGAAATAGAGAATATAAACAATTCACCAGAAGTGAATATGGGACTGTGGGGAAGAGAAATCAGATTATTTTCCATGACTGCTACTAGATGTCATATTATATCAGAAGTGCTTAGTTACTGTCCAAACTAGCCTTAAGACAGGTGAGGGAAAGTGGGAGAAAGAATGCAACTGGCAAACAGTCCATCTGTCACAGAAATTCAATGTATATAACTTCAAGAGCGGCTAAACTTCCTAAGAATCTCCTTTTTGTGCTTTTACTAAAAGCTTTATGAGTACTAGAAATAGAAGAAAGACAGCTTGAGACAATATACTGCTTTTTAAAAAACACATTTTTCTTCTTATTGGGATGAGACAAAAGCATGCCCTATAACAAGTACAATATGAATTATGAAGTGATTAATGCAAGGTGTCTTCTCAAAATTACTATTAATCTAAATTCCTACTGTGTAAAAGGTTAGAGGATAGGCATACAAAGACAAAAATAAAACTTAAAGGGCTTATATTATATCAATAAGCTAAAAATATTCATATATATTATATGTATATTCTCTATTTACATAGCTATATATTAGTTCTGGCCATATGATTTCACTGATATAGGGAATTTACAAGTGAGAAAACTCCCTCTGCTAATGCATGTCCTCTGCAGTTTAGAATCTTAGAGAGCTGCGGAAAGCCCTGACAGGTAAAGTGATCTGCCCAGGTAACACACATCCTTTCAGAGTTGGGAAATGAACCCAGGCCAGCCCTCTTCCTCCCTATCCTAAATGTCTATTCTCTATCCTTATTTCTATTCCTAAATAGCAGAGTGGCAGGGCAGACAGAGGGTGGGCCTCAGAGTCAGGAATACCTGAGCTCAAAGCCTCCGACATCTGTGAGCTGTAGGACCCTGAGTAAGTCCTTAAACCTCTGAGAGCCAATTCTCTCTAACTTGTAGAGAAGAAAATGAACTGTATTAGTAAGATAGTTCTTCTCTCACCATGAGCATTCACATATCTAATTCCTCCCAAAATATGCTATATGAATAATGTGATAGTTTTTGCAAAGATTTAGAAAAATGATCATACTTTAGACTTGCCAAGAAAAAAGGTTTAGAAATCTGAAATTTGTACAGTTTTGAACACACCCAAATTTGGAAACTGTGCATGATTATTTATTCTAGCTGTTTTCTCTCTGGTTATTAAGGAACACTTTATAAGATTTAAGAAAGAAAATACATAAGGAATTATAAATATTTTAATGGGAAAAAGAATGGAATTCAATAATTAGATTAGGACATGTAGATTTACTGAACAATGGTTAAAATTTCAGAGTATGGGTTGTTACCCCCCCGGCAAAATCCCTTACCCGAAGCCCATGGAAACGAGGATTGCTGTAGAAGAGCTTCATCTGCTCAGATGGAAGTGGTCCTAGCACCTTCTGAATAGTAAAAAGTTGGTCAATTTCACTTTCTCCAGGAAACAAAGGTTGCCCATCACTAAGCTCCCCAAGAATACAGCCCACAGACCACATATCTACAGACTTTCCATAGGGAGCTCTGAAAAGCAAAAGGAATAATTATCACACCAATTAAAGAAATAATACATATTTCCAAATTGTTTTGTTTAAAAAATGAAAGATTAGTATTTTAAAGCATCTCTAAGCATTCAAGGCAATAGAAAAGTGCCAAGTAGAGTGAGAATGCCTATATGGCAAGGCTGAAGTAGAAGATTACAGAAATTCATTTTGTCAGATGTTACATAAGAACACTAATGTATGTGGCCACTTAAAATAAAGATATTCTGTGATCTGTTTATTCAGTTAGTAATTCTCAGCATTTCAATTCAATTAATAGATATTTATTGAATGGTTATCATGTGCAAGACAATTGTGCTGGGTGCTAGTACTTAAAACACAAAAATGAAATCACTCTATCCTTCAATGACTTTACATTCCACTGATCTGAAAATTGTTCATACTTATACTTTAAAATCTTAAAGGCTTACTATAGTCTGATAAAAGGTATTTAACCTTATCTGTGTTGAAGACAGGTACATTTTGCTTCAGTTAACATCTCATTCATCTTACATTGCTGGGAAATAGTGTTCCATTTATTTTCCAGATAAAAGAAGTTTATCCCACGCAAGCACTAAACATGTTTTCATTTTTAACCTTCTCATGAGGAAATATGTACACTTTCCTGACTTTAAAATGAAACCTAATTTAAATGATATTCATGATGGTGCAGGGCTATCATTAAGGACAGCAATGCTCCCACTGTTTTATTAAATTATTGTTTATTAATATCTATTTAATTAATCTAATATTAATTAATTTTTTTCCTTTGGGACTACTGAGAAATTTGGGCTGTCTGTCCCTATACTAAATGATCCCAGAATATATTCTTGCTCTGAGTCTGCTGTCCTGCCAACATGACAGCTGTAAGTTAACATTTCAGTTCTTAGCACTGCCCCCCCTCCACTTCCACCACTTCTACTCATCTGTTACATACATGATTCCAGGTCCTTCTCTAGCTAGAGAATAGCTCCAAGTCCCTTCCTTCAGGTAAAGGACATGGATTCTGTGACAGACATTTTTTCTAAGGCCTTTTTTGCTTTTAGGTTCATAACTGTGTCCTAGATGGCTTAGACTATCTAAATGTTGATCATTAGAGAGAGAGAAAAGTGGGACCTTCCTGTTAGATAGGTGTGACATATTTGGGATTTTTCAAGTACATAAAAATGTAACTACAATTTTAAAATCTACATGAATGCCTAGAAGCAAAAAGCCTGGTACTTGTTTTAAACCCCTTGAGTTTGTCAAACCTTCCCTAGAAAACAATGAAAAACATACAAGTCCTTAAAAAATCATGATTAATTTCAAACAAAAGTAATTTAAGCTTTAAAAAAGGAAAATGAGGTATTTGAAAAAATTGAGAGAATATCTGAAGAATGTCACAATAACAGAATATTAATATAATTTCAACATATAACACAAATATAAAACATCTTAAATGATGACCAGAAAATTGCTTTCAGAAGCTGGACTATTAATATTTCAGTGGCAGCAGAAGTAATGGTTGACAAGAGGGAGAGAGGGGAAAGAAGAGGAGAAAGAATCTTTACTTTATATCTGAATTAGGAGATGACTATATGAGGGAAACAAAATAGCTCTAGCAAGGGGAAAGTTGCCTGATACATAAGCAGAAGTGTTTATGAGGCAGACTGAGTTGAATAGATTATATTATCAAACATTTTTTAATATGAGGGGTGAAGTTTCCAAAATCCTATATTAGTATACAACTATATGCTTAATATGTACATACCTCCTACCAAGTTTTTTAAAAGTCTCTTTAATAAACAAAATCCTATTGAATTAAAAATGTGAAGTTCTCAACTCATTTAAAGAAGTGTCCTATTTTTCCCGTACACAATCCTGCTGCCTTTTATCCCATGTCAACAGCCTAGGAACATAAGAATCTATCTGTAGCAAATAAATACCACAGTTTCTTACTTGCCACACCAAGAACAATTCATCATAGGCCTAAGAGATATCTATCTATCAATCTATGATGAATTCTTCTTAGTAGCAAATAATGTTATAATGAAGTTTCGTTATATCCAGATTCTCTTTAGGATAACAAAAAGGGGGTGGGGACCACATATACTAAACCACATACCAGAAGCTCTTTTTTTCAAGACCTGAGAAGTACTGAAAGGGCACTGAACAGGGGGAACTAATGAAAGAAATGCCAGCACACTGTGGGCAGCACTGATTGCCTACAGTGGGCTAATGAGTACAGTGAACATATTTTTTAAACCAAAAATCAGAACATATTATGGTCAGATACCTCTGTCTTGCTGCCACGATGGCATGGGGTTTTTATAACAGTGCACATGGCACAACAGTAGGAGGTCTTATTACTGCAAATGTTTCTGTTAATGTTCAGTGACACAAATACGCATCGTACATATCAAGAAAAAGATAAACAATATGAACTAGAATATATTTATTTTCATAAATGATCTCTATTTCTGAGGTACAGAAGTCTCTATGTTTTGTAGCTTTTAATCTTTTGCCACGTACATTTTTACCTTCTTGCTTACTAATTTGCTTTACTCAGCTATATTTGCCCGATATTGGAATTTCTAGCATATTTTGATGGTTTGGAGGGCTAAAGGACAAACTATTTGAAATGAGGACTGTGCCATACTTTCTGACACAAATGAGCCTTTATATTATGCAATGTAGTTTTTGTACCTGACTTAGTTTCATGCCTTTTTAAAGCTAACAAGAAGCAAGACAACATTTTAACCCAAGCTATTTATCTAATATCTAACTGGGCAATCATTCATAAATGCCCAAATAACAACTCAGAAACAATCAAAATCCATATTCCTAATCAATTCAAGCAATGCTTAGTTTTCTTAATGGCTCATAAAATATGATCATGACAGAGTTAGGCCTTATGGGAAATTATTACTTACCCAAGTAATAGCTCAGGAGAACGGTACCACCTGGTGGCCACATACTCTGTATAATTAGCATTGTTGCCTTCTGACAGATTCCGAGCAAAACCTAAAAGCAAAAAAGTTAACTGAGAAAGTATAATTCTTTAATTGCAGTATAAAGCTAGAATGCTTATGGGATTTTTATATGAGTATCTATAATCTTATTGATTAATATGAGAAGCAGTATGCAGAATGCTGAACATAGAACTGAGACTGGTTAAAATTCTGCCTCAGTAATTTAGTGGTTCCAATATATATAAAAACAGAGAAGACACCTGAATCCTTGGAACCTTAACTTTTTCATCTTCAAAATGGGGATAATGCTTCAACTACCTACATCACAGGATTGTTATGAGAAAAGTGTTTTGCACTCTTTAAACTGATATATAAATGTGAATGTATTATATAACATTCTTTTGCTTGAAGCCTATCCCTGAAGAGTAAATCTTAAAACCAATTAGATAGAGAGAAATGGAAGCAAAAGAAAACAACTGAAAGCAACTGTCAAACTCAAGTACATAAATTACTACATGGAAGGGCTTTTTTTTTAAACAAAAACTGCTTGAAAACTAAAAAGCAGTTTGACAGAAATTAAGTTTAAACCAAAATCCTTTAACATATAACACACACTAAACTCAAAATGGACGTATAAAAAAAATTATAAGAGAACAAAATCAGGTACCTTTCACAATCATGGTTGGGGAAGAAACCATTTTTAAAATACAATAGCTTTTGTTTTAATTTCACCTTCATTTCCAAAAATAGCCCTTTCTTCCCCTGGCCCACAGCATGTCATCCCTTGTAACAAAAAATTTAAAAAGGGGGAAAAAAAAGCAGTTCAGCACAACCTACCAATATATTAAGTGAGTCTGAAAGTATATTCAATATTCCAAAGCCACAAGGCCCCACTTCTGCAAAGAAGGGGGAAAAGTTCATTTTTGCAATGATTCTCCAGAAACTAGCTTACTGGTCATCATAATTGCATATACTGTTCAGTTCCTTTTTTTTTAAAATTGTTGTCTTTCTTCTTTCCATTTGTTGCTGTAGTCAGATTTCTGTAATCGTATTTTGTTGTCCCAAGTTTTCTGAATTCTTCATATTTAGCTTTCATATTCAGCATTTCTTTCAGGAGTTATATTACATTTCAATTACATTACCACAGTTTGTTTAGTTGTTCCCAAATTGATAAGACATGTACTTTGTCTCTAATTTCTATTAGTCTACTATAAATATTTTGGGATTCATGGGACCTTTCTTTCTGTTTTTGGCTTTCTTGTCATGTACACACGCAAACACCCAGTAATGGGATTTTCAGGTAGTGTTATGGCTATCTTAGTTACTATTTTTTGAATCATTCCAAACTGTTTTCCAAAATGGAAGCATAAAGCGTATAAATGTGAGCTTATGTGTAACAGTGCCTGTTCCTGTAGCCCCTCTAAACATTGTTTCCATTTTTTGTAATTTTTTGTGAATCTATGGGATTTGCATTTCTCTTATTATTACTAATATGGAACAATCTTTCATATGATGGTTATGTAAGCCAGACCTCAAACTAATTCAATAGTCTGGTTTCAAGAACAGAACAAAATAAGGGACTCATAGTCCATCTCTAATAGCTATCAAAAGAAGGTTTACTGAGCAAGAATACAGCACTGCTCGTAGTTGGGCTTACCTTCCCTGCTTGTGTTGCCCATGCTGTTTCAAGGAAGGAGTCAATACCTTTTAAGAAAAAACTAGCCTAGTCTGTGTGGAATTGGGCCTTGGGATACTGCCCCTACCTTACTTGTTAACAGTTTGCAATTCTTCCTTGAAAATTCTTTGATTACTTATACCCTTTGGGGAATAACTCTTGGTCTTTTATGTTTGTTAATTCCCTATGTATATCACAGATATCAAACACCTAGAAATATATTATACAAGAATTTCCCTTAACCAATAGCTTCCTTTCCCGGTTGTAGTGATGCAAAATTCATGCAAAAGCTTCTCAATTTCACGTAACAGAAATTATGTATTTTATTTTTTGTGACTGATTCAATTATGAAGAGAATTCTTTACCAAAAAAGGGCTAAAGATTGTAATAGACAAAATAGGCAATGCTTAGTACTGAAAGTCCTTCACAAACTGGCTCAAACCTATCTTTCTAATTTTATTATATACTCTATGATGCAGCAAAAAAAAAAAGTAGCTTTCTCTCTGTTCATCACCCAATGCACTTCATCTTCTATCTCTATATCTTTGCAGGGGTGTCCCCCATTCCTAAAAGGGACTACTTCCTCACCTCTAACTCCTAGATGCCATCACTTCAAATACAATCTGATACACAGAGCCTTTCTTGATTCCCCTCAATTGCTATGTTCTCCATGTGAACTATCTTATATTTAGTTATCTTGTATTTATCATGCATATATTTATAGTGATTATACTTATACATTATATTAGAATACCTATACATTGGGATGGGCCTATGGAAATCATCCCATGTACTATACAGCCAATTTCTCTAATAAAGGTTTCATTTCTCAAACATACAAGGAACTGAGCCAAATTTATAAGAATAAATGCCATACCCCAATTGATACATTGGTCAAAAGATATGAACAGGCAGCTTTCAGGGGAAAAAAATCAAAGCTATCAAGTCATAATTAAAAAAATGCTCTAAATCACTAGTAATTAAAGAAATACAAATGAAAATATCTTTGAGGTACCATTTCACATTCATCAGATTGGCTAAAATGAAAGGAAAGAAAATGACAAATGCTGGAAGGGACATGGGAAAATAGGTATATTAATGCACTACTGATGAAGCTATGAACTAGTCCAATCATTCTGGAGAATGTGGAACTACACCCAAAAAGCTATAAAATTGTACATGCCCTTTGACCCAACAACAGAACCACTAGGTCTATATACCCTAAAGAGATAAAAGAACAAAGGAAAGGAATCATTGTATAAATTTTTCTGGTTCTGGTCACTTCACTTTGCAACAGTTCACACAAGTCTTTCCAGGTTTTCCTGAAACCATCCCCTTCATCACTTCTTACAGCACAATAATATTCTTTCACATTCATATATCATAACTTGCTCAATTGATGGGCATCCCCTCAGTTTCCAATTCTTTGCCAGAACAAAAATAGCTGCTATAAATATATATTATATAACAGTAATAAAGATAATCAACTGTGAAAGACTTAGCTACTCTGATCAATACAATGATCCATCACAATTTCAAAAGACTCATGATGAAACATGCTATCCTCTTCTATATAAAGGACTGATGAACTTAGCATACAAATTGAAGTCTTAAAAAAAAAAGAGGGGGGCTAACATGGAAATTTTTTTTGTACTACTTCATATGTATATAGGGAGTGAGTATTGTATTTCTTGCTTTCTCAATGGGCAGGAGGAGGAGAGACTTTGGAACTGAAAATAAAATAGAAAAAAAATTTTTTAACTCAGGAAAAAAAAAAGATGACCTGGGTTCAAATTCAGCTTTTGAGTCTTATCAGTTGTGTAACTTTTAGTAAGTAGTTACCTTCTCTCAGCCTCAGTTTCAACATCTGTAAAGTGGAAATTTAAATTCAACATCATGGGCTTTTTCTGAGGGCCAAATTAGACAATCAGTGTATAATAACTTCTAAAACTTAAAGTGCTATACAAATATTAGTTGTTTTTGTTACTTAAAAACTTTTTTTTTAAAAGTATGAGTCAGGGGAAAAAATGTAAACATCACTAAAAAAAGTCAATCTCTGAATAAATGAAAAACTAATTATGTTCCTGGAAAACAGATGATGAAACATGCCAAGTTCCTTGAAGCAGAAAGCAAGGGGTCTTCTAGGGTTGAATGTAATCACTGTTTCAGCTGTTTTTGCTTGTTTTTATTTGTTACAAGAGAATATTCAGTGGGAGATGGGGTCCCTTCCAGATGTGATTGTGATGTCAAGACTAAAGGCATAACCAAATTATATTCTTAAAAAAACAAATACCAGGCTAGTCTTCAAAAATGTGTGACTTCATTGGTGTATTATTCCCACAAATGACACAGACTATCAACTCTATAAGAAGTTTGTAGAAGGCTTTTATAAACTGCCAGGCTTAAAAAGCTCATTACCTATTGGCCAATCTTCTAGTGATGACCCTTTTTTAGGGTGATCTTTCAACAACAGACTTGCAAGTCTACCACAGGTCACACCCTCTAGCCTCTTCCAGCTTGCTAGAATTTCAAATTTCAAAGAATACTACTGTAGCAGTTTGGGCTATTCACCTATACCAAAGAAATCTGTTTTTGAAGTTTATATCATGCCTTTGTAACCTTCTGAAATATAGATTTTGGCTGCCAGTAATCTCTAGAAACAGAAGAGTTTATATGGTGCAGAGACTTAGAAGTTAAACTAGAATTTCAACATTAATTTTGAAAAATCTCATATTAGGATGGTAAAGAGCCTATGTTAGTAACAATGCTGGGAGTAATTATAAGCATTTTGTAAGAATTGATAGACTAGGGGCAGCTAGGTGGCACAGTGGACAGAGCACTAGCCCTGAAGTCAGGAGGACCTGAGTTCAAATCCAGCCTCAGACCAAACACTTGACACTAGCTGTGTGACCCTGGGCAAGTCACTTAACCCCAACTACCTTAAAAAAAAAAAAGAATTGATAGACTATAAGAGAACTGCAACTAGTATATGAGATAAAGATAAATTTCAGATTTTAGTTATTTAATTATATTTTTAAAAGAAGTGAAAATTAAGATTATTTTTTCACAAATCTTATCCCTGCGACATATAAAAGAAAGCTGAAAGGTAGAATACTGATTACTACAGATGTTTAATTATTGGCATTTGGGCTGGTTAGAGGTTAAAAAATGATAGACTACCTGGCACCCCAAAGTGAAGACAAAAATGAAGAGATGGATTATTTTTTTAAAAGAATTTAAAAGAAATTTTCTACTTAAACACTAAACAAGATAAGCATTCCCATATACAAACAGTACAGAAAAAGAGGAATGTACATGCAGTCATGAATCTCTATTACACACAGTTTATTTTTTCATTTTAAGTATATAACAAATTC